AAAAAAAACAAAAAAAAAGAGGAAATTCAGTTTATCATAAAATGAAAAAACAGACAGACTAATTAACAAAAATTAAAAAAAAATGAAAGAAATTCCAATTAGCATGACGTCCAGTGGATTCTTCGAAAAAGTGCTGTGAGCATATACTTAATTCCATAGGGATAATTAAAAAAAAGGATCATCTTTTCTATGATGAGGAATACAATTGGAATTACGTTTGTATATAGCTGTATTTCTAATAAATATTCAGTTAGTGTTACTTAGAGGCGGGTAAGAATAGAATACCCCCTTTATTATCTCAGCCCCTCTGATATTGTTCCACAATATCTCCTCTACCTGAATAACGGCACTGATCATTTCTTTGAATCTCCAATATTTATTTTGTATTCTCTCATTGTCCCTACATGTCCGAACAATGATTAACACTGTTACATACTGGGATGAGCACATAACACATCACATACGTTTCATTGTCTCGCAGGCTCGAGAAAATTATTCTCCCGTCGGCTATCATGGCATCATTTCGTCTGGGACGTAAAATAATGCTGCCTCCTCTCAAGAAATCCATATGTTGAAAATGGAGAATGTTCATATTTATTCAAAAGTGGACAATGACCTCTGATTCCATAAAGATCGTCTTCTAATTGTGTTTGGTATTGACAAAGACGTTTAGTATTTATCATGCGAATATAGTACACAAGGCAGGAATTACTCATACAGATCCTGAACAAAAAACCGACTCCCTCATGAGATACAAACAGTAAGCGGAGGACTTCTCATGGATACTTTATATAGAAAAAAGGAAAGTATTTATTTCGTCTTTATTGTACCATGTGCCCATTGGAAAATGGCAATTTATCCCTCCCCCAACGCTTCATCGAAATCACAGATATGCAGATATGTTATACATTCTTGTTCCCTTCCGAAGGTAACTAAACTGAATATTGTTGCATTGTATTATCATAATCATTAGAATCAGGACAGATCGAAAAATATAGAGGTGACGTTCAAATCGTACATGATGCGTCTTGTGTCTGTTTCTTTTTTTTCCTTTTGAAACTATTACACATATGTCTCTGTACCTTCCCACAGATGTGCAATTTGTATCCTAAGAATAAATTCCTTGTAATTCATTTCCAGATATATGCGTGTTTATATTTACCCGCATTTTGACAGGTGTCTGTGGTACTCAGTCTGCTTCTTAGGGTCAGTTTGTAAAATAGTATACCCCAGTTTGCTCTTGCAAACGCGAAACGTCGTGACGGATACATTGAAGCTACCCCTTTACCCTAAAAGCCTCAACTTTTGTTACATCACAATGAAAATACCCATCCATTCTAAATAGACGCAATCACTGCCACTATGTTGTTTTCGTCTCACATAAAACATAACAATCTCTTTCGCAATTGATTCTTCCCCTCAAGATATAGACTTCGCTTCTTTTCACTTCTCAAAAACTAAAGTATAGCCATAATTATCTTCTCCGCTTTCACTGTTTCTAAATGTATAAACTCCTGTATTCCGGAAGGGTAACCTAATTATGTCACATAAGATCATACGTTACATTCTGGTTCAGACTATTTGACTATATGTCATAAATATCTGAAATCCCGTACAGGGTTAAATAATTCCTCTCTGAGGAATAATCATAATAGCTTCCTGTTGTGTTCATCTGATTGTGTATTCATCCGACGAAAGGTGTGTCACTCCAAGTGAATAAAACATAATTACGAAACCCTCGCCTATGATTCCAAATTAAGAAAAATGATAAGTAGAGACTTCATAGGATACATTATTCATCCTTCGCATTAATAAAGGCGGCTATATCATAGTACAGATAGAATATATACATCATTGCGGACACTACAGCATCGGTTATGATAATACTCCCGGCATTGAACGTAAATCTACTGTTTCCCCCTTCTACAGGAATGGACAGGTGTAACTACTGTCTTATTAAGCTTTTGATTACAGTGAAAACCTTCGTTACTTCATGTTGTATGTGTTCTCTATTCTCCGCTGCTTCTAACGCGTCTAGACAGGTAGCGAGGTCATTTGATGTCTCAAATGGACACTCTACTGTTTGCTCCTCTGTTATGAACTTATTTCATTTGAACTGAAACTTTTGGAGCTCCTGTTACAATAGTCAGTGTCCGCGTAACAGACTTTGTTATAATACATGCTTATATAATGCATGTCTTCTGGATAGGTGTTCTTGTAACGGATGATTCCGTTTTCCTATCGAGTTCTTTATCAATAAATGTTGCCTGAGCAGTCGCTGCAGCAATAGCGGAAACTCCTCTTGTATTATGGAATTTATTTGGTCTTACTACTTTGTTTCGTGCATTGGTTACAGATTTTTCCATCCTACATTTACCAACGAATGGACCTGTAATGATGCTCTTTGTCCCCAGAAAGTGAAGGTTCTCTTTCTCCTCCTAGGCCCCCGCTCCTCCTAGGATTTTTTAACGACACGTCAAGTCATGGCTGTTTCGCCCAACTCTCAAATCCGAGACTTTCTGTACGCACATTATTCGGAGTTGATGGTTCAGGATCGGTAGGTATTTAGACAGCTGTCCACCCCACTACTGAGCATGCCGAAACGATATCCCCGCGATGTGGAGATATATCATGAACTCAGGGGTTCTCTATTACTAACCCATGTTTATCCTTTACATGTGTTTTTTCACCATTCCAGAATATGAATAGGAATGTATACTCTGGTTTGTTGGTTAAGAAATTCATCACAAATATTATTGCATAAATCTAGGAACTCAATACAATCTACTGTTTAGTCACCATATGAGCCTCCATTACAAGTAATCTATTTATTATAAGACTCGTACCTATCACTTGAATGGATATTACACAGAATAGATTCAAAGTCCTTAGAATACTTAATCAAGAATTTCTCCTGTACTTTTTCGTTCAAAATCTGGAATTTACTGTTATGAGAGTAATTTTCACAGCTATATTGATTGTATTCCTTACTGACTCGATTCCGTATATTCAGAAGATTCGTTAAAACGCTCTTTACATGATTATGATCGTCCTTGTTTTTCAGAAAGTACCACGTCGGATCATATGTTCAACACTTGTATAGTGTACATGCGTGTTTCTTTATAATACACTCAGATAGTTTTCCGCCTATTCCATATTTTCGCAACACTCATTTTACCAACCTAGCAGAATTCAACAAGATTCGATCTTGAATCTACCATAAATAACATTTATAATATGTCCAATATTATGGAAGGAAAAATACTGGGAACTCATAAATCCACGCTTCGACTTAGAAGAATA